AGAGCCAAATAAAACATGCTCTTGTGATTGTGAAATCCGTACCTTGTACACTTATAAGATGCTACTAATAACAGGACAAACACTAGGAGACATCATTTCACTTTCCACTATAGTGAAAACTGATTCTACTAGGATCCTTCTGTCTCACAGGAACTTGTCACATCCTCTCCCTTTGTGCCTTCTACTCTCCATCGGGTATGTGTGGTGGTTGCATGTGCTAGTCAAAGCTTGGGCCATCAGCTGTTTGGTGTGCCTGGAGGCCAAAGGGCCAAGTCTATGCTTTAGAGGCCTCGCTGGTTTTTACAGAAGCTTTTTGCTTTCCTAGTGTCTGGAGCTATTAGTATTTAGAAGTCACCATGGATTTGTTATTACACTGTCATGGCGAATCTTAGACAAGTCTAAATTTCCTAAAGTAAACGCCAAGCCACACAGACAAATTTCTCCAGCAAGTTGCTCGCTGCTTAATGACAAGGAATAATCAAAAGAGGCTTTAGGCTGAAAGGGCAGCGCACTCCATCATGTGTGGAGCAGCTGGCCTGGCAGTGCCAGGACTCATCTGCTGTTGGGTCAGCTGCTGCTCTGCGGGCCTCACTCCCACAGTGAAAACAAGAATGCTGAGGACTGCAAAGGGCTCGATCATGAAAATAAAAGCTAAGACAGTCATCTAGAAAGTCTCAACAGTAACACATTATATATTTATCAAGTGCATTCATGTTCTACATGGAGGAATAATTCCAGAATACGTACAATAGATAAACTACTTTTTAATCTATTTTTACGATAAACATTCTTAGTCACAACTATAAGCTTGCTAGAGCTATTTCTATTACTATAGAACTTGCCTGCATACCAACATGCTACTCATTTCCTCTTGATAATTGATTAATTGAACTTTCTTTTCTTTTCAATGGAATATGTAGGCAGTCTGCTTTTACAACAGTTATAAAAACACATTTTTAAATGAAAATATTTCAATCCAGATGAGACTTAGAGAAACAGACAAAGATCTTTTTGAGAGACAACACTGCCACATACATTTAAAACCTTCCAGTGACTAAATTTTATGATTATATTTTGGCAATTTATTTCTCCAAAATTGAAATCATAAGTTTCTTAACAACTTTTAAGCAACTTAGAGCTGAGTTTCTGATATCAAGCTTTGGACTAACCTTTTTTCTATGAATACTAAAAGTTTTTTTTCCTATCGAGGGCTAAATTTCATGGAGGCTGGCAAGATAGCTAGGTGGACTAAAATGCCTAGTTAGGCAAGCTTAGGAAAGCTCAGGGACCAAGGTTCGATCCCAGGCACTACATGCTGCACCAGTCCTGCCCCCAGGGTGGGCAGAGCCAGTCAGAGCTTGGGTGTAGTGGCGTAGACCTGTAAATCCAGCACTGGGGAGGCTAAAAACAGGAGGAGCACTATAAGTCCAAGTTGTGTGGTGAGACCCTGTAACAACCAAATACATCTAAATAATAAATAAATAAATAAATAAATAAATAAATAAATAGATTTCAGAATATTCTTTGCAGTTTTGGAGGTTGAGAAAAAACTCTTTGGATATCTTCTGTGCTTTCTGGAAAGGGACCCTAAAAGACAACCTTAAGGATGGTGAATTTCATGTAGGAGGAAAAATACAGTTCCTGGGTAAATCTAAAACAGAACAAAAGGATGAGGCCTCTGAAAATCAAAAAAAAGTTGCATACATAGTACATGTAACAATACACACAAGTCACATCCCAAAGCCAACACAGAAAATCTGCTTCTGATGGAAAGAACAGAGATTTCAGACGGCAGCAAAGTAGACATACAAATGGGAGAGACTGACCCCAAAACAATCTTTAGTGATCCTAACCACCAGAAGTAGGCCCACCAGAGGTAGGACCACCAGAGGTAGGACCACCAGTGACCCACTCACAACTGGAGACAGGAACACTGTGGCCACTGCCTGGAACACAGTGTACTGACCTTTTTTGGCAAGGCTACTGTTGGGTTCATACTTTTCAATCAATACTTGGACTTGCTCTTGTTTCAGAGGTGGGTAGAGGATTTCATTTAGCCGAGGGTCCCGCTGCTTAAGGTTGATAAAATCCATCATCTGATCAACAGTGAGATATGGTTTGCTTTTGGCACCACTAAAAACAGTTAAAAAACCAAGAAATTATAATATTTTCCACCACATCTCATTCATGCATTTAATTACAGGAAAACAACAAAATCAAATTGTAATCAAAAATTTAACACTACGTTAAAATTCCTACATTAAGGCCAGGCATGGTAGCACTTGTCTGTAATCCCAGCATTTGGGAGGCTAGATGGCTGGATCACCTTGAGTCAGAGGCTAATCTGCACTGCACAATGACTTTGAAGCCATCCTGGACTATATGGTGAGACTCTGTCTCAAAATAAGAACAACAACAAAAAAAAAAACACAAAGAAAATTCCTAGCTTGTCTGCAAAAAATAATGGTGCTTCTTAACTATAGTTTCTATATCTTTATGGGCTACCAATTGTCTTTTGTCAATAAAATCCATATCAGTGCCCGTGAAAAATATCACTTGCTTAACAAAATGCATGGAAAAAGGACATTGTGTGAGGAGGAATGCACTCTAAATTGAATACAGGTATAAATGGTTTTCTGATTATAACACTAAACTCATGATTTAGTCATCAAACTCTCATGTCCTACTTAATCATTTAAACATGTATTTGTTACTCAGAATTTAAGAAATGCAAACAACCAACTTGGGTGCATTTTTCATTTCATTACAAGTTATTATTTCGAAAGGGTCTTCATAGCTGAAAATGTGACTCAAACTACCTCATTCGGTTTTATTAAATACAACCCAAAGTTCAGTTGTGTAAATACCGCACATGTTCAATAAATATTACATAACAATGAACCCCATGAAGAACAAACATCCAGTGTACCATGTCATTCTCAGCAGAACTGCCTGCCTACTTTCCTCCTCATTTTATTTACTAATTGTGGGCTGATTTTCTGCCATTACCTTGATTTTAGTATCTCAGAAAAGCAAGGCAGGTATTTCCACACATATGTTTTGAGCTTTTGGTTTGTTTATTTCCTTTTCTTCATCTTTTTTTAAAAGTAATGCTTATTTAAGTTTGTAATACCTACATAAGAAAAAATGACTTTCCATTTGGAAATGTTCTTAGTAATTCCAATTTCTTGTTTCTCTAAAGTAGTTCAGACAGATTACATAAATAGCTCCCAGGCCAGAGCTCCTTCTGCTACTTGAATCCATATCTACTAAACAAAGATGTCTCCTTGTTCTATTTATATTCTTGAAAGCATACAAAGCCACCTGAGCACACCAAAACAAGAACACCCAGAAATAAATCATAGTAAATGTCTACTCATGAAATGCAATGGTTGCCCCTTTGGTCAAGATGGCGTCCAACATGTCACCCAGCAGCACTACTTTTAAGCATGGAGGCCTAAGTTCCTCCATCTCCTCCCAGCCCTGTTGAAAGCCCTGCTTAGCTTCACTGACTGTCAACACACAAGCTGGAAAAGGTGAATTTAAACACATCCTCTTACAATTCGGAAAAGATGTTATCAATCTCAGGTCGAGGGCAAAGATTGTTCAGGAAAACTCTGTACACATCTGGAGTGAAGTCTTCTTGAGGTATCGAATCATTCTGGGAAGTAACACAGCAGAGTCAGCCAACAGCCTCTGTCTTTCCCTAGTTGCCTTCCATTTTCTTTCCCCCACCCCCACCCTCCTTGCCTACCTTGCTCCCACCCTCCTTGCCCTTTTCCTTTTTCTAGGAGATCAGGGTAAACATTTAGAATATGTCTACGAGGCATACTATAAAGTTCATTTGCCTTGAATTTGGTGGTATCAAATCCTTATTTTCTGTCACTTTTTAATTTTAGTTTAAACTTTAGCACTTTCTTCTGCCCAATGGATACTCAGGCAATTCCC